AATAATGATCTGCGTCAAAATTGAAAAAGAAAATTTTAGTTCAAAATTTCATCCTCTTTCACTCCCAAAAATATTAATTAAGAGTAATGGGACACCCTGTGTATAAAATAATTTTATACTTTACTATAAAATGTGAGAAAGTGAGAAAGAGAAAGGAAAAGAATGAAGAGATGAAATGCAGAATAATTTTATAGAAGGCATATGATTTACAAAACTATTTGTTTTAATATTCGTACATTGTAAAGAATTATTTTAAAGTACATAGATAATTTACTGTTGGTAATACACTAATATACATATTTGATTAACAGCTCTATTTATAAACTTATTCATTTTGAATAATTTTATCTTGGATTTAGAATTATCTCTGAGACTGAAAATCTCTTTTTACATATTCTCGAAATGGTTTAGATGACCAAACTGATTTATTAAATTATCGATAAATATTAATCGGACAATCGATCGAGAGGTGATATCAATATGTAATATAACGTCGAGAACAAATATAAATTAAAGTCACCATGTTATGGAATCGAGAAGTTATTTAATCAGAGGAACGAAATGATGCGCTGGAAAATAATGCGGAATTTATTCATTGAGTCCAATTTACACGGAAAATTTAATCATGTAATTACACTTTAGCAACCTTAATGACAATTTGTAACGTGGTTCGGCATGTGCTTGCGTAACGATTATTAGTGGAATCCCGCTAATCAGCGGTATAAGCAGATTATTGCATTGATATTGCGGAATGATAGACACGTTTAAGATTGTTACCAATGAGACTCGTTATAAATAGGAAATTATTTTTAGCTATTTAATTTTAAAAGAAGGTAAATATTTTACCCTTTTTAGCTCTTCTTACACACTCAATTTATGTAAAGTGAAAAAAGTGACATATTTTTACTTTATTTCTTTCTAGGTTCAATGAAATAGAGTTTTAGTTGATGCCATTATGATATTATTGCAACATTGACAACATAATTTGAGATTTTGGCAATATTAGAAATTTTAAAATATTAAATAAAGTTATTAAATAATGATATATACATCCTTACACGTGAAAATAATAATATAATTATATTACACACATGTTTCGGCTGCGAGATTAAAAGCCCTCAGTTTCAATTGTCCATAAAACGATAGAAAAAAAATTAGAAAATTGTCAAATGTCGACAGAAAAATCATTTTTTGATTAATTAAAGTAAATTAAATTAAATCTCAATTATCTTGGAAATCTGACATGCTGGAATTTTTGGTTTGTGACATCGCCTGTTTTCAGTATTCAAATATCATCTATAAGAAACATTTAGTTCGATTCAAAATAATGTTGTAAACTATTGCTATTAACAAAATTAATAAAAAAGTAATTTGGTAGCATTTTTCGATATATAGATGTTCGAAAGAAAATAATAGATTTACGTAAAAGAAAAATTTTCAGTATGAATATTAAGTAAATATATAATATAGATTATAGATATATATACAAATTGATTATTGTAACAATAAAATAGCAAATAATATATATAATTAACTTGATGTTGAAACGCTTAGCTTATCTAATAAATTGCTTCAAAACATTTTAATCTTATATCTCTCCGATAAATTACGGCTTCTGCTTGTAATGAGTTTTAAATAAGTTAAATAAAGATCAATTCTCTCCATTGAAGATTTAAGTTTTAGCTGAATCGCTCTACCAGTTCTTTATGTTTAATTTTTCAATGTTCTTTATGATTAATTTCCGAGCTCTATTAAGTCATATTAAAGCCCTTTGATAATACGATTAATGAACTGAAGAATTATATCTTAAAAGGATTGACTTTAAAGTTCTTTGACTTCGTCAAAGTGAGTTTCTTCAATAGGACATCCACGTGCTGAATGAGTCTTTCAGATCTAACGTGAATCCTTTACGATACGAGAAATACGATTGATCATCACCCAAGACAAAGTTGCGAATCGTAAGCTAGCTGCATAATAGCCCTCGAGTGATGGCCAGGTGCATCGCAACGCTGTGATTTAAGGTAGAAGTAAGTAGGAAGCTAGAAGGAAGTAATTGCTGTGTATCGAGATTTATGGACTACAACTCGTGAAGCTGGTCGGTAAAAATACAGCTTGTGAAAATGGTGGATAAAATATTCGAGCTATTTAAACGAAGACAGGCGATGTATCTATCCGTGTAAAAGACAGAACGCAATTGAAATGAGGTCTTTGGACTCAATCATCTCACGATGTACTTAGAGTCAAATATATTTGTGCATCCGCATTTCTCTAACATGCATTCTTCTTGTGTGAAAATTTAGAATATAAATATAAATACTAAATGTCCATTATCAAAATCTATAGCCATTTCTTTTGAAATAAGATAAGAATTAGGATATCTTCAATAGTAATTTTACATAAATTTATTATAATTTAATTTTATCTAATATTAATTCAATTTATTATTTAATCCAGAATAGTTGTAAAATTGTCTGTTATTTCTAATTGATGAGAAAACATCATTAAAATCTAATTTAAAATAATTTTTGTTGCAAGATAGTATTCCACAAATAATAAGAAAACAATGTTTCAATGCAATTCAGATTCAAAATAAAATAATTGTTATGATCAAGGTAAAAAAAGTACTCTGTAGGTATGTAACAGGTATAACTGATATGATTGAATAATTAATGATCGAGAAAGCAAGACACAACGAGGCGAAACAATAGTCCCATCGTATTGTCATATACACCGAAAATCACATTCAGTGTGATATAATAGATTCGGTGGTTCGCCGGTGCAGCGTGGCGACAAGACAAGTGCAGAAATCGAGATGCAAGTGCACTGGGAGTCAACACCAGCGACAGTCAACACTCAACGTCGGTCTGCGGTCGCGGGCGAACGACAGGCAGTACCTGCATAATGACTCGACTGCAGCCGTGCACTGCGGTGCGCGAGCTGTGCGCGATGCACCGGTGCGGCCAGGCCAATCGTGGCAAGGCCACCCACGCTACGAAATACATCAATGCATCTTTCACGTTGGAATCAGGACCGTTTGAAAGCCTTCGTACAAGACTTGAATATCTTCGCTCTTTTCCAAAAGTATTAAGTAATATTTTGGTACACACAATATATGTATACATAAAATTTATTAGATTTCTCTTATAATTAGCCATTTAGAAGGATTTTTACAATATTACTTTCTAAATTTTGGTATATTTATTTCATTGAGATTTTTGTAAAACTTCATTTACATTATTATACTATGAAATTAATAAAATGTTACAATTCATTTTGTTAATGATCAGTTATTATATCTTTCATTATAATTTGAAGACAATATAGATAAGATAATAAGGCTTCAAAGAAATAAATTAATGAAATATGAGCCAATGTAAGCTGATACAAGATAATGATGTGTGACAATTATATAGGTATATTAATGATAATAATGAATGACAAACGTTTCGGCCCCAATTTCAATGTAGTCCATCTTCAATGTAAATTAAAAAGGTTTTACAGATAATTTTATTGAGCATTACAATACAATAAGTATAATTGAAACTCTTAGAACAACGGAAATATGTCATATGTTTGATTCAAATGTATATGTCATGATTATTGAAATCGGTGGGATTGGCCCTAATATGCATAATTATCTAAACGTTTCTTACAATCTTTAAAAATTAGAATGAATATAATCATGATTCGTATATAATTTATTTTATAAAAAAATATAACTTTATTTTGCGGTCTAAGTACATAGCTATTAAATCAAAATATCAAAAAAGAAAGTAAACAAAAGAGTTTTTTATTTTATTATTATATATTAATTAATATTTTTTAATTATGATATCTACCTTGTGTTTTATGCTATTGCACTTATGCTATTTGCTGACCGTCTATTATAAATGGAATGAAAATAGACCTTAAAATCACAGAATTGTTTGCCGCCGTAAATATAGATAGACCTACTTATCGACTGTGTAATCTCGACAGCAGATAAAATAACCTACAAACGATTTATTGGATTTCTATATTCGCAGCTGTGGATTTTAAGATCTCAGAAAACAATTTAGCACGATATATTATCGACATTTTTAAGTTGTTCTTAATATATTTGTCAATGATAATGCGACAACGTATCCGAAAAATGTTACCTACAAACGTATACCATAATTTTTTTCAATTTTTTTAAATTGAATTTTATTGAGTATACATCGCCGCCGACACACACTTCTAATAATGTTTTGTTCGATCTGGACGAGGCTTTATATTTCTCGTAACGTTCTCCTTTCTTCTCCTTTTCTTTCAATATCTGGATACAAATTATATTTTCAGTATAAAAAGAAAAAGTATAACACAATATATCCGATGGAAGTAAATTAATTTTATAAATAAGTTCGAACTGCAGCGGTTATTAACCAATCAATTAGGGATGCACCGGATCGTAAAATTACTGGATACTGGATATCGGATATCCGGACAGAATATAACATCGGATATCCGGTATTCGGTCGGATATCCAAGAAGGCAATTGCTTCGAGTCGAATATTCAACATTTTCCGGATATCCGATCGGATTTCGAGAAACTGTCTTCTTTAAAATAAAAAAAAAAAAAGAAGAAGGAAGAAGGCTATGGAAAAAAATCATGATTTTGCAACAATGTATAAGATATTAATGCAGCATTATATATGCATGCTTATTTCTAAAACATTTGTATAACATTTGTATAAATTGTTGATAAAAATCAACAATTTAATAATATAAAATTTCAACCGAATATATTCCTGGATACTTATGATATCCGGATATCCGGTTGGATAATAAAAAAGTGTCGGATAATACCGGATACTGGATACTTTTCGGATATCCAGTGCATCCCTACAATCAATCAAAGCAACCATAAAAATACGCGCGCGCTGCTGCAACGATTCGAATTCAATACGAGCCACGAAGGAGGCGTCGCGGCGTCACGACGTTGCGACATGCGCGACATCGTCAGTCTAAACGTGCTCGTCGCTCCATACGCATTGTCGTATGTTGTCTCAAGTTCGCTTCGATTCGAATTTGTGACGAATAGTCATGTCCCTCCGTTTTCCAATATAAAATTAAGAGAGGACACGGTTCAACGACGGTGTAAGTGACAATAAACTGTGAAAGATCAATATTTAAACATGTTTTTAATTTATAGAACACAGAATGTATTTTGCAAGATATAGGACATATTTACAGATTGAGTTTTTGATGAATTCGTGTAAAATCTAAGTTTTTATATAGAACGCCATAATTCTTGTTAGTTTTTAAGCTAACGTTTATATTCGTTTTGAATCAATCATCAATGAAACGGAGAAATATATAGAAAAAAGTTTTAGACAAAACATTTGTAGTTCCTTTATATACTTTGTAACTATATGTATCCAGATTTTTTTTTAAATCTAATATTTTAACAATACTTTTATCTCCATTAATCAAAATCTCAAATTAAGTCAAATCTCAAATTGAGTCAATATAAAAAGATTTGTGTTTCTTAAATTTTTGTGTTCAACAAACATATTAAAAAGAAATCAAATCAGACAACTGGCAGTTGTCTGATCCCTTATAAAATAGAAAATGTTTTAATTTTATAACAGAAAAGCAAAATGTATCATTTATTTTTTTATTTTACTTAAAATTCTCTTTTGTTAGTTTATCAGATTAAGGTAAAAAAGGATCTATTGAAATATTTACAAAAAAGTAAGAAAAAATATTTAATATCAGAAATTAATAGAATTTAATAGAAATTAATTTAGAATTTTAAGAAAATTGTATGCAAAAGGTTTATTTCTTAAGGTATTTATTTGATAATTAAACAGTTCTGAAACAGTGACATGCAGTCAAATTTTTTCTAGACGAAAATTGATTGTGTAAATTAATTGATAAATTAATTTCAATTATATATGTACATCATGTATAAGAGAGAGTACAATAACTGTCTGTAATTCACAAAATTAATCCATAAACTATGCATATAAATACTATAATTTTTTCGGTGTCTTTTTGTTTCAAACGAATAGTAGAAATATTGTAACGGATAACTAGGTCAAACTTTAGGCTTTACTCGGTCAAGCGATCGTGACGTATCTACCCTTATGATCTTAATATATCTAACAAATGCAATCATGTAAAAAAACAACATTATACAAATTTCTTACTCCATGAAGTTGTACCGTTTTTAATGTATCTCAATATATATCTGCAAGTCCGATAAATGTAACAACACATTATAAAGATTATAAAAATTCAAAAAATCGTTATTACTTATGTTTAATTTTTCACATTGTTTAAAAAAAGTTTATAAATTATCATACAGAATTCTAAATCATGATACATGAATATACGAAATGATTCAATTTTTATATGAAAAAGCATTTGTAATATCGTGTACGCGAAATGACATAACGAATAAACAGTTAGACTTGACATATTATGATAGTGACAGTAGGTCTAATCAATAAAAACCATCAATTGTAGTATAGCATTTAATATATAAATAAAACAAATTATTATAAAATATTTACTCATCAAGAGAGAATATTGCTTCAAAGTCTTGTTACTGGATATTTTATTCTTTTATGTTAGTCGACCTTTATGAATTAACCTTGAATCTAAGGTTAAATGACTATGATAGGTATATCGCGTTCTTATTCGCAGCGAGTGTGCTCGTATAATATGTGGTTGTACTTATATATTTGTATTCAGACAAATATCAAATTGTATTAAAGGGTCTTTAACTCTTAATATGCATGATCGTTTTGTCACCTTTACTACACATAATAGGTCTTTTGTGTCTTGGGTTAATTTTCATCGCTTTTACAAATAAAAATTATTAAGTGATTCTTATGTATACTTTGATATTTTAAAAAAATATTTGTAAAGTTGTATATTTATAAAAAATTGTGTATAATTAATTGTAGTCGACAGTATGAGAAAAATGCACTTTTTTTATATGCAAATACAAAACTTTGAAACAAAAATGAAAAAATATATTTAAAGTAAAAATATATTTCAATATCTTGAAGTAAATATTCTAAACCAATAAAAAAAATTGTTTAAGTATCAGCTTCAAAAGTTTAGTTGTGGAGTAACTTAAAAACGATATTTTTTTATATTGCAATAGGTATTAATTGCATTTTTATTCCATTTACATTTTAAATGCATTTTATCATCGATATCGCTTTATAGAAAATTATAACTAATTAGAGAATACGTTTTTAAATTTTTACTTTAATATTTTTAAATTTGATATTTTTATTATATCTTTTAAATATTATTTATAATATTCAACGCAAATCATTTAATTTCCAATTTTTTAAATAAATCATAAAATTTTTGCAATGTAAACGAGAATTAATTGAAAATAAAGAAATAAAAACTTATAACTGCAGAAAAAGTTACACTCTACACACGATGAGTCTTTCGTGTCCTAAAATAAATTTCCAATACGTTCTTGTTGGAAGAAATACAGGAATGCAACGCACAAAATTAGTTCTCTAGAAGCCAAAGTTTTTTAGGAAAAGAATATAGATCATTATTTAGTTATGTGTTTCTAATACTTCAAGAAAAAGAAATTGAAGATACAAATGGTCCAATCGTGTATATTAAAGGTTAATATAAAATTATTTCTCTGATTTCAATATCCCACGATGGTGAGAAGATGGTACTACTGCCTGGGATTGTACCCTCGATATTAAAACTAAGGAAACTTTCGTCTCCACTAAAATACATGGAATTTGTGACGGAATTATTGCCCAAACAGCACACGACGTCCATTGGACGTTCTTTAAATCGTTGTTAGGTTAAAATTTTTCAGAGTGATGGTACAGTGTGGAAACTTATACGTGTAGTGTATCAACAAATTACTTCCTTCAGTAATAACACAAATTGGTATACTTTGAATTTTTTTGCTAATAACTTTTTAATAAAGTACGATCGACGATTAAAATTGTTAAATATTATTCAGGATTATGACCTCGATAACATACGTCAAAGTTATGGTCATTAAAGGTTGATCTTCTCATCAACATCAAAGATTTTATATTAAAGTAATTATTTTTTGCATTAATTACTTTTACTTTATACATTAAAAATAAATTAGCCAAGACTTCCGTCACAGTCAATTTAATAGAATATTAAATGGCTTAAAGACAATTTTCTTCTATTTCCAGATGTCTGAATCTGTAAAAGTGGCGGTAAGATGTCGGCCCATATCTAACAAAGAATTGCAGCAAGGATGTCAGGTATGTAATAATCTGCAAAAAATTATCTTTTTAAAAAAGATAAAAAAACGGCACCAAGTACACGCACTCCTCCAAAAATTTGATATTTAAAAATCAACGCTAATTTGTAATCAATAAAGATATATAGTTATTACTTGCCTATTATTAGGATGCATTAGATTGCGACAGTGATTTTACCGGATATCGAATAAACGTATACTCTTACGGCCGGATACCGGATAATCCAATCAGATACTATTTTTGCCGGATAAACCGGATATTATCCGGCAGAAAACGTGACAATGATAATTATTTCGAATAATCAAATTATGAAAATTAACTTACGTTATATTGAATTTGTAGAAAATAAATAAATAAAGAATTGCAAGGTTTTTGTTCGTTATAACATCATGTGGCAATTGCGTGTAATACAAACGGTATACTACGTTTATAGACTGTTTATCGATGGCGAATGGAATATGTGCCAAATCGATAGTCCGGTCAAGTTACTCTAACATCTTTCCTGTAAACGACGACATAGCCTCTTTGCTAGTATGTGTATATATACGTGCACACGCATATAGCTATACCGTCACACTTTCCTGCTTTTAGTAACGTTGCAACTCACGCGATCAGCAGCACTTTGCCATGCACGTTTCGAATTTACAAAGACGTGGAATTCACATATAAAGAATTTTAATGTCCTTTTGTACTATGATAATTTCATAAATTTTCAACATTTTAAAAATCGCAACTGCGGTTTTCATAATTTCTTAAATTTTCTTGACTACAGAATTTTTTAAAATTATTTTCTAACCATATTTCAAATTTAAAGGATATCATATGACAATACTTAATTAAATTACTGAATTAAACATTTTTAACAATATATTTTGTGTACTTCGGAGTTATGAGAAGCTATGCAATTTAAATTTCATCTTTCTATGATAATATAAATTCTTAATAGCATAAATGTCATCTTTGATTAATTATTTATTGAAAACTAAGAGCGTAAAAAATAAGAAAAATGAAAATAACTTTTTATTGTAATTTCCTATGAATCACTGATTAGCCTATGTAAGAAAATAAACATTTTCTAGATTTTGCGAAAAAAATCATGATTTTATGAGTTACTTTTGCTGCTTTTATAATATATTATGCTTTATAAGGGGATGCTGATGTAGTGGCTAAACTCTGACGGTGTCGTTGTTTTATCGATTAATTGTGATATATGCACATACGATTAACTATACAAACAATACGATTTATGAGTCATCGACACATTACATATAGAAATACATACTACATATTACATCACTATATATGACATGCGCATAATTTATAAAAAGAGGTAATTTTTTTAAATTAGGTTTCTAAACTTAATTCTAATAATAATTCATCATTACTCATTTATTCATTACTCATTTATTACTCATTTGACTCTACTTTTACTTTGCGGATATGTATGTATAACCCTTCCACAAAATAAATGTTTTTGTGAATTAGCAGCTTTAATCGCTGTATTGGGATAAAAATCGGTAAGAAAATCTATAATTTCTTAATTTTTTCTGTTTTTGTTACAAAATAATCTAGAATCAAATACATTAGTATTTTAATCGTGGAAAAGGAATTTTAATTCTGTAAAATGAATACGAAGTATTCCTCAAATAACAAAATAGTACTTTTTATAAAACCGACAACTTCAAGATTTTCTCAACACAAAATAAAATAATTAATTTTTTATTTATTTCGCTATTTAATTTGAGGCTAAATATTTTCTAAATAAAAAGGGGTTCTCAGATTTTTATGGAACTACTTTGTACAAAGAAAATGGAAAACAACTATGTGCCCGTGCATATAGTGTTCTCGCTGAATAATTTATGCAATGACATACGTAATCCATAATACCGTAATTCACTTACAGTATTATACTTACAACTTCTACACTTTCACTACATATGTATATCGATGAAACGACGTTCATCCAAACGAAAGAAAATTGTTACTGTGCATCTAACATTTTTATCAACGATCGAAATATCATATTCTATATTTAGCGTTTAATATCATTCGATTTTTGTTAACATAATTGGTTTGGGCGGCCAAATATATATATACGCACTTATTTAGATTTTTATCACGTGATATACGTCAGATGCTAGACCGATCGACCGTCTATTCGCGTGTTATTAACTTAATGTGAATGCACGTATACATATATATACGCTCTGGTGATAATGACCAGGAAAATTGCGCGTATGTATACGCTAATAATGCAAACGGGTTAATCTCTCTCTCCACTTGACGAAAGCTTTCAATTAATGCAAGTTTTGGATCATAATCAGTGTACGAGATTTGAAAAATACTGTGCATTTATATTATTATATTATATTATATATTATATTAATATTATATTATTTTTTACTAAAATTTTATTAAAATTTTTATTAAAACTCTACAATTTCAAAAATTCTTCAACAGAATTTTAACTCTCCTTTTCCTTATTTTATCCAATTATGATTGATATTAGCAAACAAGGAGCACATCGATTATATCGATTCTCATGCGCTTCTTACTGGCACGTTTATTGCAGAATATAATAACAATCGATCCACTGACGAAATCTTGTACGTTGGAAAATGCTACCAGTGGAAGTGGAAAAGTCTATCAATTTGACGCCGCGTTCAGTCCATCCGCTACAACAGAGTCGGTCTACGAAAATGTAGGTTCTGTCATTGTCGAGGCTGTCTTAGAAGGTTACAATGGCACTGTGTTTGCTTATGGTCAAACTGGCTGCGGAAAGTCGTTCACAATGCGAGGATTCATCGAACGTGCATTGGAACATCTATTTGAAGCGACTTCCACTGCCAGTTCAGAAACAAGGTATATATTCTTCAACTTTTAAATTAGTTTAAGATACACAATACAAAATATTCCATTTTAATGAAGACAAGCCATATACTTATATAAATATGGATAGAATTAGCGATGAAAACAGCTCATATAAAAGTTTAACATTTAACATCAAACAAGCCACATATATCATAACTTCCAACTGTGAAACAGTTAAGTTTTAAATTGTATGATCTTCTTTCCGTTGTATTACGATATGAGAATGTGTAAACTATTGTCTTGGTTTGACAATTTATACTAAAAAAAAATCTCATTGTCAATTCACGATTTTACATATTAATAACAGGATGACCTTAATCTTGTATATCACCAGCTGGATATTTTTGCATTAGAAATGCCATTTAAAATGTAATTCTATTTAAAATGCTAAATGTAAAATACTTAAAAAAATGTATATTAAAATATATATAATATATGGAAAATCATTCTGTATTTGAAAACTATTTAAAATATCTATTTACTCATTTTACATATAAAGTGGATTCGAAAAACATTTTGCATTTTAAATACATTTTTTTAAGTATTTTATATTTGGCATTTTAAATGATTACCCAGCCTTGTATATCACATTTATTTACGGTATTAACGACCGTCCATCTAAGACAGCTTCCCATTTGAAGCCTTTAATTATACCTTTAACAAGACGTACAAATTGCATTTATTATTAGTAAGAGCATTTTTTCGCATCATTTTATTTATTATTTAATTTGTCACATTTTTAATTTTATTTTTAATACTGTTTTTTACACTGCTGTTTTTTTACATTATTTTACCGATTTGAACATTATTGATATATGGAATTTTTAAACATTGAAAGTAAATCAATAAAGGTCGAAACATTTGTTATTATGTGAAATACAAGATATATCGATTTAATAATTTAGCATTAATACGTAGCTTTTATTCATAGCCTCTCATTTTATTAATTTCTAGTTGCTACTCTAATTGAGCCTTGTATTATTATTTGCTCAGTTGTTTAATTCCAAAAGGAAAATATAAAAGTATTTTACACATTACAGATTATACAGAGTGTCTCACTTTAACTCCAGTTAAATATCTCCGAACCCATAAGTTTTTGAAGAAAGCTTTTCATATAAAAGTTGTATGGTCAAAAGGGAAACAAATAATGGTAAACCGATAATCTAAATTCTAAATATGTATATACAATGGCAATAACATAGACTACGTTTACATGGCTCAATTTACGTTAAAGTTATAACATCGATGTTATGAAACTAGCTAATCACAGTCATTCCGTTCTTCAGAGGAATAGCTATGATTTTAGACATTATACAATTTTTGGCTTAAAAGTTTTCTTCTAAAACTTACGGATTTTGAGATATTCGGTTGGGAAAAATAAAGTATAAGACATTCCGCATATTTTTCCTCAAAGATACTTATTACACTTTCTACGTTCAGATATTTAGCGTTATTGAGCTACCTCGAGATCTATAACGAGCGATTACGAGATTTGTTACAAGACGACACTGGCGAAACTCTAACACTAAAAGAGGACCCCACGAAAGGTACTTACGTCGCGGGTGGATTGCGCGAGGTGACTGTCAAAGACGCGACCGAATGCGCCGCATTAGTTCGACAGGGTGATCAAAGGAGAGCCGCAGCCGCGACGAAGATGAACGCTGCCAGTTCGAGAAGTCATGCTGTTTTAACTCTATCGCTCGAAGCGATTGCCATTAATAACGATGATAAAAGTGGCAATGCTGTCAGGAGAGGTCGACTGCATTTAGTCGATCTAGCTGGATCTGAAAGGCAAACTAGAACTGGAGCTACGGGGGATCGTCTGAAAGAAGCTGCCAGTATTAATCTGAGCTTATCAGCGTTGGGGAATGTCATTAGTGCGTTAGCTGCTGGAAATGGAAGACACGTACCTTACAGGTACAAACAAAATATTTTTTTATATATAATTTCTTCTAAAAACAGGTAAAAGATAATTATATATTATAAATCGAAGATATGGGTAAAAGCAGAAATTTTTTTTCAGGGATAGTAAGTTGACAAGACTGCTACGAGATAGCCTGGGTGGAAATGCCAGGACTTTGATGATTGCTTGCGTAAGCCCAAGCGACATCGATGCTGAAGAGACCCTCAGCACTCTGCGTTATGCCGCTCGAGCTCGTTGCATTAAGAATAAGCCCATTGTCAATGAAGATCCCAATTTCTTAGACAGTATCAATTAGAACTTCAACATTTAAGAAAGTTGCTTGATTCCAATGACGTATTAAACGTTGGACTGGGCTTCCAAAAGGATATAGAGGAAGAAACAGAAAACTCGAGAGAGAAACAGTATGCCGACGAGGTAATGTAATAATTATTCTTTTAACTTTTTATTTTTTAATTTTACATATACAGGATGTCCTACTTCAACTTTTACATCAAAATATCTCAAAAAGTGCAAAAAATACCAAAAAATGTTTCAAACAAAAGTTGTATGATCTAAAGGGGGACAAAACGTTTTTGAAAGAATTGGTTTTTCAAGCTCGCATAAAGATTATCGCCATTTTTTAAATTAGGAACCTGTACCTTTTATTACATATTCTTGTAGTTGAACATCGAAACGTTTTTAAAACACTAACCTACTTACTTTTTGCACGAGCCATTTATCAAGATATGAGTCTTCAAAATTTATATAAGTCATATTGCCGACATTAGTTACACCCCATGTAAATTGCGGGAAGATTAAAACGTTCTACTTATTTATGAAAAGGTAAAATCGGTGAATGATCCGGCTAACAAAGGTAAGATCGATAGTTGATCCAGCCAATGAAAGCAAGATTGAAGAATGATCCAGCCAATAAAGAGATTAATGATAAAGAAGCCTCATATCTCGGTAATAGCTTGTGTAAAAGACATAAGCATTTCAATATCAACTACAAGATTATGCAATAAAAAGTACTGGTTTAAAAAATGGCGATGATCTTTATGCGACCTTAAAAAATCAATTCTTAAAAAATTAAATTTATTATCATTTTTATTTCCTTTTAAGTCATATAAGTTTTGTTTGAAATATTTTTTCAACACTTTTATGATTTTCGATATATTTCAATGCAAATAAAAATGGGATGCCCTATGTATATGAGTTGTTATTAATTATTCTCTAAATATTTCTTATTTGTACAATTATTGTTATTATTATTGTTAAAATCATTTTTCTGTCAATTAAAAAATTATATGTTATATATGTATATTTGTAACTTATTCATTCTTTAAATACTTTGTATACAATCTACTTCTTATTTAAAATGAGTAGAAATAAATAATATAAAAAACAATTACAGTATGTTTGAAAATACATTTGATATTTTTTATTGGTACAAGTTATATAAAATATAATTTTTAAAAATGTAAATATATCTAAAGGTGGAGAGGCTAAGAAAAGAGTGCGAAAGTTCAAATTTATCAGCTCAGAAACTAAAAGAGGAGTTAGAAGCCCTGAAATTTCGTTACGAGTTTGGATTAAATATGCCGAACAATAGTGATAAAAATAATGATAAAAATAGTGGAAAATTCAGTCAAGGATATCAGGAGATGAATGAGTTGGACAAGGAACGAATAGAAAGAAAAAGGAAAAAAAGAGAAGCAGCTCTACAAGACGTTTTAAAAAGATTGGAAAGATTGACAATCGGTGGAGAAGAGATCGGTAATGCGGAACTGAAAAAAAGGAGGGAGAAAAGAAGAAAGAAGCTGGAAACCCTTGCAGGAGCTTTAGAAGCCAATGATGCCAATGGTAGTGTCTTCCAAGTGTACGGTCAACTAAGGTTAGTTCATGTAATAATTGTGCATTTAGTAATTGACACAAGTCCAAGAATTAAAATCATATGAGTTAATTTAAAAAAATTTTATTCATTTTGCTCTATCTTATTTAAAAGCAATTTTTAAACAAGTTCATTATTTTTTGTATGTTTTATTTTGCTTTGATATAATTATTTTATAATCCAACGATGTTATAATCCAAGGTCGCTGCAGTCAGGACCGAATTAGCACTGGAGGCTAACCTATAGGATATGCCATATTTTTGAAAAGTATTTTTAAAAAATAGTCATTTTTCACCAGACGCGAATGATTGAAAAAATTTTCCATCGATCGACGATCACTAGATTCGAATCGAAGTTTCACGATCTTTGTGTCGATCGATTTTGTTCTACCAGAGAGAAATCTGAGAGGAGCCGGCTTTCTTCGTGCAATCATCAATATATAGATAGAATGAGTAGGTTTGCGGTAAAGTTTACTACTAGTAAAATCTTTATAGAAAATCTCTTTTTTTCTTTTTTGTTTATCGCGAACACAGGCTTGGAACATTCCAGTTTGAGGGTTGAATATGGGCGACAACGATTTAAGTTCCTAAGGGCGGCAGAAATCTTAATCCGGCACTGGCTGCAGTGAGTAGGCATGATTTCTAATAAATTATTTATTCTTATATTATTTATATTATATTATATTATTATTATATTATTTATATTATTATTTATATTTTATATTATTATTTTCTTATATTATTTGTTTACACATTTAGCATTCCTTTGCTTTTTTATTACATAGCAAAAATCGTAGCAAAAAATGAGCTGAATTTGGTCACTAATTTATGAATATTGGTTTTAATAATATATGTATAATTTACTAATATTTAAAATAACAGGTCGACAGAAGATGCATTAAAGAAGATGGCAAAGAGAGTAAAGCAATTAGAAGCTGAGGCAGTAGATCTCCAGGCATCCTGGGACGCCGAACGTCGCGAACTTCTTCGGAGAGAATTATTAACGACCCAATTGTGCGACCTCATGATGCCCTATCTTCGTCCTGGCTGTCCATTTCGAGATATTGCGGTAATGAGAGCGGCGGCAACCTGGTGCGATGAGTTAGGAAGATGGCGCTTACCGGATGTGTCTCCCCACATACCTCTACCTCCGGCCCCCACTGCGCGAACGGATATTCTTTATTCCACCAGTATTTCCTCCAAAGCGGATCATAATAACAATAATAGTAACAGTAGCAGTGACGAAAATGAGAGTGGTCAAGATAATTATAACGAAGAAGGTGGTAGACAAGATATAAAGAAAAAAAAGGGTTGGAATATCGTGAATACTTATTTTCGGAGAAGCAGAGTGGATACTCTTCTGGCACACGCAAGAGAAGCAAAATCTTTCGGTAAAATCATATCATATATGCGCGCATGTGTATAAGTATGTATATATTATGTGTTACCATATTATGTATTACTATTTAATGTATTACTACTTTCTTGCAAAGAGCCTTATCCTCTGCCGTTGGCATTTAACAAATATATACACTTATGTTTCGGAAAATTGTTACTTTGTTAAAGTTAATAGGGAAACTTTGTTATGATTAAATAATTTGAATGTTACAGAACCGGGAAATCGATTGAGCAGATCAGGAGGCTCGGAAGACTCGGGACCAATCGCAAGTGGCAGCGGCTATCTGCAACTGAACGCACTAAATTTGCAGAGTAGTGCGCCGATGTTTGATGAAAATAATTACAGCCCAAACGAACGCAGATCAGTGATACGCGGTGGTTGGATCTACGATGAGCCTAACCATTCTACGTATAACTCTTTCGTCAATACTAAGAAGAAACTTCCTCCAAGAATACTGGAAGCCTTACCTTCGTATCCACACGATGATACACCATTCAAACCATCCGTTCGTCTTAAAGAGATGGAATTGTAAGAGTAAGTGTCTTCTGTACTCTTATTCGAGATTTTAATAAACTTTAAATAGAGAAATGAGTTAGTAAATTTACCTAAAATTTCCTTTCTCATTTTTTGCTGAATTCAAAATTCAATACTGAAAACTAAATTTAAAATAAAAAACATTTCTGAACATTAATTAAAAATATAAGACATTTTCAAATATTTACATGGATGAAAATAAAAGTAAGTAGTATTTAGGTCAGAAAATAGTATTATATGTATTCAATATAGCCTAAGTATATTTTCTTTTTTTTTATTAAAAAATATTATAGAAATGGAAAACAAAGTAATCTATTATTACTTTTAATTTATTAACATACTGACATCTAAGTATTAATACACAAAGAACTACTTTCCAAAATTGATTTATCTACTTATCTATTTATCTCTACGATGTTTAGTAGGTGAATTAAAATTTATGGAATAACAAAAATATCAAAAAAATATTTAACAAAAAATCGCAATTGATGTTTGTACTAAATATGTTTATATTATTCATATTACCTGGTTCTACCTTACAAAGAATTTCTTTTTTTGTTATAAAACAACACGTTATGACAAAAATGTAAACGAAATAACAAAAAATTTTATTTCTTTGTTTCAGAGCAATGGAAGATCTCGAATCGTGTCGACAGTTAACATAATGATATTGAAAAGACAATTATCTTTTTTTAAATAATTATAAAATGGATCGGCCAAATTTGATAAAAAAAAAGAGTTCGTAGCTCTTAATAGGATAAATAGTCTTTATTTCATGTCAATGGTATGGTTCCCTTAAAAAAAATTCTTGAAAATAATTTTCAAAACGACCTTCGGCAAACGATTCTTCTCTTAATATACTACGAACAAACATGGTTATAAATTTATTTTTAATCATATATGTCGTAATATCTCGCTATTGAATTGATATTTTGTGATACATTCCAATATTAATTATGTGTACATAATATACAAATCAATTCTGTATAAGAACAATTTCTTAGTAAAAATATCATTGTATATTTTGTATGATATGATTTTGAAGTTGCTGAGAGAGCCGCCATCATGAAGCAGCACCTTTATCACTTGTCGTATCATGCTTGAGCGTGCGAAATGTGAACTCTGTGATTAGCAAACTTGTTAATAAGTTGCTATTAATTTAAAAAGTATTATAACCTCGACATTTTCGTATTAAGATTTTCGACTCAAAATGGTCTCAAAAATACGCTCTTAAAAGATAATCCTGTAGTTGCAGGACACCCTATATATCATATATGAAATTATATATGATCATGGATTTTTCCCTGCTTGTTGTATATTTACATTTACGATTCTAAGAAATTCTTTGTTCAATATTACATATATGGTCATATATGAATCATATATGATCATATGTGAACATGTATGACTTAATATATAATCATACATGATTAGATATTAATTATATAGTTATACGTAATAATATATATTTTATATATGATTGTATATACAAATTTTTTCTCGAGTCTAGTAAATATTTCGTAAATATTTCTAAAACGTCCGCCGGAAACGTCATCTGTCATCTTTCATAAAATGCAAACTTGCACCCGGCTATTGTATATTAATAAAGCAAAGGCTGTTTTGCAATTGTTGGAAGTTATTTTCGCTGAAATATAGGATTATTTTAGATTCATTTGCGAAAGAAATATATTTTAACTATATATGTTCCATCTTTTCGACAACACTCTTATTAACCAAATACATCGCAGCTATACATCCATTAACATTTAGTGTTTGTGGATTATCGAAGTTAGTGGCTTTCGTATTATTACAGAGATTAAGCAGTCTTGGAAGTGATACAGTTTTAGGATGAGTGACCGTTTCCGAAGAATCATGAAATTAATTCCCGAATTCAGGGGGAAACGTTTTTCTTATCATAATTTTGTTGTGTGTATTCTGGAATATAATGCTAATCAATAATATTTATTTTAGCAATAAAACCGAATTAATTAATTTTTTACTGAGATTACAATACTTTCTTAAATATTTTCCTAGTATTTACACATAATATCGTTCGTGCCTTTAAGTATTTTTTTTAACAGTTTTTTAATCCGAGTGTGCATGGTACCTTGTCATAAGAGTAAAGTATCACGGACTTGCAAAAATCTTTTTTTACTCTTCCAATCAGTGCGAGTTTGAAGATTTGAAGTCCCTTTAAAATTACCTGTTAAATTTGATACGATAATATAGTACTTCACTTTTGTGTAGGGCCAGTACTCGCATTAAACAATTTTGTAAAAATAGTTAAGGGAATCCTAAAAACGATTAGTCATGGTGTAAATAGAACTTACACACAAACGAGTTACGTGTCATTGACACATACATCAATATCTAACTCACGCATGCTACATGTACACATAAATTTTCGTATAACAATAACGTTTTAATTAGACATCTAAATCCAATTCTAAGAATTCCACGCTGTTTCTTCGTACAAACTACTAGTCTGTGGATTACTACAGTATTTCGTAAGTACAGCTATTATACGAAGCAAATGTTATCACGATGTGACAGCTCAAAAGCGCCATATTAAACTAAGAAATGGTAAAGAAAATCTCAATTTTGAATTTTTTTACGTTCTCGGAGTAAACTTCACCTCACAGACTCGTATTAATGCGTATATTTTAATCCTAGGAAAGGATTTTTTAATCTAACAATAAGAGGAAAAAGTAATTGTTATACAAAAGTTATATGGCTTAGTCGGTAGTACAGACAGCTTCAAGATTCCCAAAGCTGGAATTCTCCTCGAAACGTATACAAATGATCAGAACTATGTAAGAACCATATGTCAATATAATTTTATTGACATCAGTTTTATAATTTTCGAAAACGGCATCAACGGGATTCCACACAACCTGAAATTCCGGAATAGTAAACCTAAATAATACGCTAACGCTGAGCTATATAATTGCGCGCTTGTTTGTCAATTCAACGTTATCTAAATTTTACAATAAATATTTCTTTCTTTATAAAGCATGACAAAGGAAAAATTTATATATTATTACATTTGAAACCAATATTAAGTAAATTATTACAACTATTTAACATTGGTTTCGGCTTCATCAGCAAAGAGAAAAGATAATCAGATTAGTAGAAAAAAAACAATAATCACATTAGATTCAGTCCACATATGTAACGGATGCAACATCAAATTTTCGTATTTAAAAGTGCAAAACTGTTAGTTCAAAAGCTAAATCTAAAAATAACTTTTATATATACAGAATGTGCCCAAAGACTGGATATGGTCGAATACCTCATAAATCATTTCTGAGAAAAATGTTTCATACAAAAATTGTAGGTTTCAACAAGTTTATTAAATAACAATATTATCCATTTGACTTTGAATATAAGTACGGAAAAGCTTTCAAGGTTAACTTTAAAATTTTTAATGGGAACTTCTACTTTTTATTCAATATTCTTGTAGTTGACATCGAGATTTTTACAAAACACTGTAATGAAACTCCTTTAAATATTTTTTGAAATGTGAGTTGACAAATTTCAGGTACTATCGGCATTAGCATTATCCAAAGTGTCTGACCGATAGCTAAAACCACTTTAATATCATTCAGTCATGACCTCGATAACATTTGTTAAGATCAAGGTTATTAACGGTCGTTCCTCTTATTTTCATTTTTAATCGTTAAAAAAGTTATAACCGAATCGTTATTATAAAAAACTCTTGGTAACACAGTAACGGCGTTACAATTAAGTAACACATTACTTATTATATTTATCCCTCCTAATTAAGTAGGTATTTTATGAGCGTAAATTATTCTACTCGTATTAATTCGGAGCTAAAAATTAAGTCTGGCTTTTTTCAATGTGGCCACTATTTAAAAAATCAAGACAACAAAAGGAAACAATTAAAAACTTTCTTTTTATCTTTTTCCAGTGCGCAAAGGATATTTTGCATTTTCGATATTGAGCTATGCAGTTAACTATGTGCCTGCAAAAGTGACTGTGGTAACCACTCACATATTAATTTACGCTCACTTACAATCAGGCAAAAATTTAATTACGTGTGTTTCTTTGTTTTGAAAGCGATCGCAGGGTGACAAGGCAGCAGTAGAGAGGGTGAGGACGAGAGGTGGCAGCAGCGGCAGGGGTAAGAAGACCTGCAATTCCCGATGAGCTTACATCTAGGAAACCCCACAAACGCCAAACGTCGATACGCCGACTCTCGAGCTGGCGGCAGCCATCTTGGAGGGTTGCTGTGCATTCGTCTTCTCTCGCAAACTCTTGGAGCAATTTCGGCATCGTCGATATAACGTCGAGTAGAATCATAATCGTAATTGATAAACAAAACTGAGATCTTTTAACAAAATACTTATTTCAGATCATCCTAAGTCACAATATCATATTTTTAAAAAATTGAAATTACGTGATACGAAAGATATTTTTAAAACTTTCGATAGTTTTGCATAATCTCGATTTCATCAAATTAGATTAATTTATATGTAAAATTTTTTCACGCAGCATAATCTTTTAAAAGTGTGATGTTAAATTTTGTAAGTGTAAATCTAACTGTTAAAAAGATAAGATATATTGATGTATAATATTTGTTCGTAATTTGATTCAATAAATTATTTAACTTGATTTAATAAATCTTGTTGTGTCCAGCAATAAATTCTTTTTAATTAATAAAAGAGAATTCTAAAATATCTTAATTGTTATAAAAACTATAAATTTACAAATTATTAAACGTAATAACAAATTTCTCTTCTATTGTGTTATTAGAAATACTATGTATTTCTATGTATATAAACATCATGATTTCCATTTTTGTACAAACAACAAATATACATATCTAAATTTTAAACAAATACAATTCCTTGATTTAATGCTTTAAAAATAAATGTTACTTAAGCGACGACTAGTTTATTAATAAAGAAACTCTTAAATATCCAGTTTCGAAAGTTCACAAATCTCAGAAGCAATTCCCTGAAACAGTATCTTTACACTCTGCATAACTCGGCCGTTTAATCACAACTGAGTGATTAAATTACATCGAGGGATGACAGCAACAGCGGTAATCGCCCATGATTAAAGCTCTAGTCTGACAAGATAGCTGCTATCTTGTCGGAAAAGCGATTGCGGATTATTCTCGTACGATCATGATAAAACGTTTTGATCATGGTTACTTAATTAAGTCTACGGCTTAAATACGCAATGGGAACAATCCATTCTTTTATAGCAAGATATTCGTATTCAATATTCTTTCATATTCACGTATTCTTCGACATACGAAGTATACGTTGCGTTTGTATGCGCGTTATTTATAGCAAAACTATAAAAACTAACATTTCAAGTTCAATTTAAAATGATTTGAATATATTAATAGAAGTACTTATTCATACTTTCTTTTCTGTGTAATTTTTATGTATATTTCTTTCTTCTTAATACCTACTTTAAATTATAATATTTAACTATAAAACTTACTTTATATAGTACATGCAATATAATTGTATGAATTTATATGAATTTACATTTCTGAAAAGTTATATACAGGAAAAACAAGAAAAATAACAATTAATTTTCCTATATTTTTTTCTATATACATATATAGTATTATTCGTTTTTCAATAACGTAGCTATATCATTATTAATTCTTTCGCGACGGCATTAATCACTACTACGCTATCTTTATACGAGAGAATTCATTGTGAATTTACT